ATAGGAAATCGACAGGAATGAAATAAATAACCATATTTCGATGAGTAAAAGGCGAATCCTCCAACGTCCGTCGAGTGCTGAATGTGAAGCTGAAAAAGAAAATAAAGAAACACAATTGATTGCTAGTCAGCCCAACTTAAATGAAATCTAGCCGAAATTGTCTCAAAGACTCAAAACTGGAAAGGTTGTGGATAAATGTTACAACATCTGTACAACTTTCGATCTTTCAAAGGTTAAAAAAATTACTACCGCACATTTGAAGACTGCTGTATGGTAGAAGAGAGCAAAACGCTTTTTTCTACTTTTCTTCCAAAAACATTCTTCCACTTCTAGCAATCATATTGCAAAATGTTTAGGTTCACAAAGTATAGAAACCCTGCCATACTTCAGATTTAGCTAGAGTAAAGTGACGCCAACCTCTTGAACTTTTTGTATTTTCCATTGTGACTTTTACGTTTCGTCTCAATTAAACAATGTCGACTGATTACATAAAACCAACAGCTACATGTATTCTTTGGAATTCCGAAATAACTCTGCTAATTCTGTGATCCTGAACAAAATGAGATAACGATTCAACCAAGAAGCGTAGAGAAATGATGTGTTAAACTTCCTCATTGATATAATGAGCCGAATCTTCTTGATCAAAGAAATAATATGTGCTTCACATTGAGAATGACGTACGCTATCGCCTGCCTCTAACTGTGTTGATTTTTATAAATTGTAATAACTAAAGAAGTTTAGCGAGTTGATCAAAACAGTGGCGGGGTCCCTGTTGTTATGGCTTCTGTAGATGTGCTTCGACACTTGTTTTTTTCAAAAGATTTTGCCAGAAAATATATTTTTGGTTTTTTGTAATATCAAATTAACCTTTACCATAGAATTTGCTGAAAATTTAGCTTTTCACAGACTTTTCTCAGTATTTTTCTTTCTGTGATGTTTATCAACGAGACATGAAATAACTTGTGATCATTATTCATCAACAAAACATCGCCAGGTGTAAACGTTCGATTACATGACACCTTCTCTCATTGGACAGTTGCGAGTTTATTGTATGCTGTGTAATATCTGAAGATAATTTCATGCTGAGGTTCTCGTTGAAAAGTAGAGTATTAAACTGTTGCTATATTAAACATGGTCTAGTGAAAAGGCTCAGCTCATTTTTTGAGGAACTAAAAGAAAACCTTATGTTGTTTTTTCACCTGTAGCTGAGGTAATTTCGCAACTTTTGAAAGGTTATGCCAACCACTCTCGTAATTGCAACATGTTTTTTAAACATGAGGTGCGTCTTCGTGCATCAACATGATGAAATATTAAAGCGTCAAGATTTATAAGCATTTGTTGTGAGTTTTAGTTAACGGTTTTTACAAAAGATGAAAAAAGCGAATAGCAGCTTATTCTCAGTCTCGTGATTAAACATCTCGACAGCAGCATTCAAGAATAACGTTTTGTAAAATATCAACATTATAAACTATAAATCAAAGTAAAGGTTAAAAAACGTTGAATTAAGGCTAACCTTATTAAAATCCTAACTCTGGAACATTCTTTCCTGTGGCTTTTCAAGTCAGTTACGCCAGCGCTTTCTATTTGGAAGAAAACAAAACATTTGGCTTGGGGACACTTTAAAATTAAAGGCAATTCTTATAGTGCTGTTTTGGATGTGTTTCGCATCTCTTTGATCAAAGTCGCAAGAGGACATTTCACCTCTTTAAGAAGTAATTAATAGACGAGACTGGCTTAAGCTGTGACGGTGTAGCTAGCTTTTAAACACGCTACCTTCTGGCCAATCATTTAGAAGAATTGTTCAAAAACCCTTAAATACACCAAAAGTGAAAAAACAGCAAAAACAAAAGCTCTGTTAATGGACGAAACAAAAAATAAACTCATAATTCTAAAA